CCATAAACCTATACTCAGTACAGTAAATGGTCACCAAATATTACTAATAATATCCAAGTTATTCTTTCTAAAAATAACAATTACTTTCTAATAGTAAAGACTTCACAGCAAAATTACATGTGAAGTATGAGCTGAAGGTAGACGTTTGTACAATTATACTGAAAGGCCTTTTACTTGATAGAAAATATCAATCAGATGACAGAGGGCATGTTTCAAGAAATAAATTTGATCATGTTGATAATTTAGAGGTCTAAAACACATATACAGTAGACTTCATAGGCTTAAATTTAAAATATCGCCTGAGATTACACAGAAATTGCAAGTTAATTAACAATAATAAATTCTTACGTGCAGGAGTAAGACGTGAGCCTGGCAAGTGGGGACCACTTTCCTGCCAAACAGCTTTTCATAATTGCGGTTTACACAGTGAACAAGTTCTCCTGTGTAGCTGCGCAAAGCTGATGGCTCCGATGACAGCGAAGCAGCCTCCCGATCCTGGTTCCACCGGTGTAGACCCTCCAGCAAATAAATCTGAAAGTTCAGACTGTTTGCACTGGTCTCTGTAAACCCACAACAGTTTTTAGGGAGTGTTAAACACACAAAGACACTTAATGTTCTTTCTTTACATATGCACAGTGTGTGTGACAAAGACTTACCTGGGATGAAACGGTTAAGGTGTAAATGAAAGGATCCAAGAGAAGTGGAGCCTCTGGCACATCTGTATGTCTTCAGAAGCACACCTCCCTTGGTTAAGCTCCCTGTCTCTGTATAGAGCGCAACACCAGGGGGGTCTTGGATACACTTGACGTGCTTCTTCTGGACACTCCAGACATGCTCCATCCTTTCTCGGTCCAGGAGAGGAACACCCAGGGAGTCATTGCCCTTGCTGCTCAGGAGCTCGGTAAGCAGTCGTTGAAGGTGAAGGATGGTAGTCTCCTCTCCACGGGTCCTCCACCGGCAATATAGAGCCAGCTCCTCCCTGGTCAGATGCTTGTTGGCATCTTCATCTGTCAGCGCAGGCCAACCCTGGGACATCAACAGCTCTCTCTTTGCTTTTCGAAGCATAGAGACATCAGCCGCATCACATTCAAAGATGCATGCTGATAGCCGTGACATGAAGATGGGGTACAGCTGATGGGCATCAGTTGTACACCCCAAGGCAATCCTGCGCATAAAATGCCAGATGTCCAAGCGTATCACGAGATCTGGCCAGCCTAATGCAAAATCCACACATTCATATATTTTAGATATTTGATTTGTAAAGTATTTGCTTATATATGTGATGATGGGCTAACAACTGGATGAGGAATGGAAGTGTACTTACTTCTGCGTGAGGATGACCTGAAACTCAATGGCCCAGATCTAGCTGTTGCGGGACAGTCTGACTCCAGGACACATGCGAGGCTCTACACTTGGTACAGATGAGGGTTTCTCTGACCATGTTGTACGTTCTGTCAATGTCTAGAACCTGCCGTGACCTTTTGTGCAGACCACCTCCTGTCAGCTGATGTTGTCCACAGGCAGGATTGGGACAGAGAACCTTAACCCTCCACAGCTTGTACGGCACCCACAGCAGAAGAGAATGACAAAATAATCTGTCTGGAGCTGGAGACTGATTGTAAATAAGTGCTGGCTGCGGTGGGTAATACCAGAGCTGGAGGTTATCACGAAGCTCTGGCTTTCCCTTGGATCCCATTTTGAAAAGCCTTTTGCCAATCCACTTGTAATCCTCTGGAGGCAAGGTCTCCGACCACAAACGAGGAAGCGGAACTACAGATGGACCTTGCAATAATGCCCCAGAATGAGCTGTCTGTGAAGGAAAAAAGACAAAACATTTAGTCAAGTAAGGTAATTTTATTTTTTAAGCACTTTAAGCATTTTATTTTTATCCATGATTACCTTCACATGAAATTATCATTGCAATAATAGTTTTCACTTAAATACCTTTAGTATTACAGTGATTATGACAATGAAACTGATAACTTTACATTATACACTGCTGTCATCCAAAAAAAAGTAACAAAATAATTATTCTGAAATCCTGTTTAATATATGAAATAAAACATTTCTGAGATTTTACAAACAATATCTCTTAATTTTGACACATGAATGTTAACATATATACATTGTTTATCATTAAGAAATCAGTATCAAGTAAACAATTGACATTATGACAATAGTTTGATTGTTTTTGTTTTTCTCAGCTTGAATGCGTTTTAAGAAACTACTGGTTATAAAAGTTATATTCAAAATTTCAGGGCATGTGAACCATTTAACATCTCTGTTAAGTTAATATAACAGATTAGATAAATTTATTTCCAAAGTGTTAAGAATTATGTCAGCTGTCTGGCGACATTGGCGACTGATTTAATTACATTTTTAGATCAACAAAATAGGAAATTACTTACCCAGACAATACTGCATGGCTGAGCGGGACGGACAGATCTGCAGTGGCTCTGGGGACAGAGGCTGGAACTTGAGCATCTGGTGTCTGCACAATCATGAAGTAAAATATAATAGATTTCATTTTTAGACCAACAGAATAGGAAATTACTTACGGAGACAATACTGCATGGCTGAGCGGGACTGGACACATCTGCAGTGGCTCTGGGGACAGCGGCTGGAACTTGAGCATCTGGTGTCTGTACAATCATGAAGTAAAATAATAGATTTTGTAAATATAACATTACAATAACTTTAACTCATCCTAGATTATATCATACACTACAGTTTAAAAGTTTGAGGTCTAAATGTTTATAAAAGAAACCGTTTCTGTTCACCAGAGTTGCATTTGATCAAAAATACACTGAAAACAGTAAAAAGATTGTTACATTATGAAACATTACTACAATTTAAAGTTGTGAAATGTAATTTATTTCTATGGGGGCAAGAACACATTTTCAGCATCATTACTCCAGTCTTCA